AATCACGGTCAAGTAGTTAAAAATCACCTAAAATCACCATATTTTGCGAATTAGCGCCCCTTAACTGATCATCTAGCCCCCACTTCACATTCGTGCCCACCCCACCCCCTATTTCAAGACCTTTAGATACGCCACTGTTGTGTACCAAATAAACTGATAAAGTAGCCCTTTAAAAACTGTAAGAAGCGAAGAATAATAATGTGAAATACTTGTTTTGAAACTGCTACATATACCTAAGTTGAATTAGTTAAGGTATAATAATACCATTACATAAACGGTATAATAAGGGTCCGATACAAAGTTTTAATACCTATAAAGGCCAACTCAGACAGCGTCGTACGACGCAGTCCGACGCGATTTGTTGTCGCGTCGGGTCTGTGTGAGTTGAACGCAGACGCGATGGTGTGCGTTGGGGGCAGTCGCGTAGTAGAATATTAAACATGTTTAATATTTCTCACGACGGCTTAAGACTGTCCCCGACGATAAATCGGGTCGGGCTGCGTCGGTCGACGCTGTCTGAGTTGGCCTTTATTTTAAGCAACACTATTTGTAATATTGTATCTCTAATAACTTTGAATCGCATAGAGACTGATAATGAAAAGTACACTCGGATCCATTCCAAACTGCTTATAGACAAGTCCGTAGTTTATCTGATATTATTTGTGATCTGATTTGTTTAAAAAAAAAAAAAAACAATTTAGAATTCCATAAAATTGTATGGACACTCATAAGCAGTGGAAGAGGTCCGGCAGGTCAGACGCCCGCCAGACCAATAGGAGTGCTGAGATAAATATTATTTGTATCTATAGTTTTATTAAAAGGATAGGCCCTAGTTATGGTTTTTTTTTTTTTAATGTTTACTTTTTGTTTATAGCTGTGTTATATTTTGAAGCCCTCTTTGCCTTTGTCGGAGGGAATTTGACCTCCGTGAGTTTGGTCTACTCAGTCTGTCCACAGTAATTTCGGCCGTGCCAGGCTGAATTAAATGGGGTGGGGGAGGCTCTGTGACACCGGCCTTACTGAATGAATAAACTACTCTTCGTTAAAAAAAAAAAGTGACTAACAGCACGCGTTAGTCACTGTGAGATCAGAAAACAGCAGTTGACCTATTTTATTCATTATAAGCATCGACTTCAACGAAACATACCATAATATTTTATTTTATTAAAACAATTGGATTTTATTGAACAATAATTATTTTGATATGCTGATATTGAATTCAGCATGTTAATAATTCTAAGCTTATTATAACCAACTCAATAAATAAGTTTAAATTAATCATATTCTCTTGATGGAAATTCACTTATTATTTTTTTGTATTTTTCAAGTCAAATACTGTAGAAGTCTCAAAGAAAATAATTTGTGTTGGAATAGACATAGACCTGTTAAAGGTCAATGGTCAATGGTCGTATATTTATAGTGCCTTCCACCAAAAACCGTCTCAACAAGGCGCTTTTGAAGCCACAAGAAACAAAGACAAAAGAACGCGAAGTGGTGGGGGGGGGGAGGGTTATATTTCAATTTAATTTGTTCATGATTTCCATATCGATGAAATATTTCATTCTTTATTAGAAGTCAATCTAGACTTTCGGATGTTCGTTTTTAATAAACAATGATAGGGTTAAGTATAACAATATTGCTTCGCCCAAACTGTTGTGTGAAGTGTATGGTATTTTATTATTATAATATCACGTGTCGACCACATTGCTTTTGCATTGCATAAACTGTTATTTTGGTTTAAATTCCGATGGGGGATGGTGCTTGTTTGCTAGAAAATGTTAATATATTTAAAAATTGAACTTCTATTGACAATATTTTTACACACTCAGAATAAAGGGTGGATAGTGCTATTTCCGAGCGTATAACGCTAAGGTTGGTACATATCATTTTGCCTTGGTCAATCACAAATTGCATTCGGGTAATATTAGGCGTCTTCAACTTCTTCAGAACTCTGCCGCCCGTGTTGTCACTATGGCTAGGAAATTTTATCATTTCACCCGCATTCTAAAACACCTCCACTGGCTTCCTGTCAGCCAAAGACTTAAGTTCAAGATCCTTCTTCTCACTTTCAATTCCATCAATGGCCTTGCGCCTTCGTATCCTTTCTCACTTGTCCATCTCCACACTGCTTCTCGGCCAACCCGTTCTTCTTATTGCAAACATGCTTCGTGTTACAGTTGTATCAGACATGTACGTATATACTGGCGAGCGATCTTTCTTTTTCTCAGCTCCTTCACTTTTTTTTTCTCAGCTCCTTCACTTTGGAATTTGCTCCCTGCTGATCATCGTAATATCACTTATCCTCAGTTATTTACTCAACTTAAAACCTATCATTTTTTCTGTAATTTTCACTAAACAGTTCATGGGATTCTTCTGATGCTGTTTTTTTAAAAATTATTATTATCCACCGCGCATGCATGATTTTAAATTTTAATGTTTACTAAAGTTCTAAGAATGTTAAAAGATGCAGGTTGTTCAACTGATGGAATATGATCAGTGCGTTTTCTTTTATTATCAAATACAAATCTATTAAAGTAAATGGAGCATATTCCAGATTTTTGAAGCACAGCATGGTAAGTTTAGGGAATTTCATTTATTTATTAGGCCTCAAACAAAATTTGGGATCTTCTGAAGAAGCCAGTGCTTCCATGACTCGGTAAGCCAGAAGTTCAAAACATTAAATTTGCAAAGAAAAAAGACAGTACAATGATATAGAAGATATAATGCTCTGGTTAAATTTCCTTCTATTAATTTGCATTTACATTTTTGGCTATTTCTTATCAATTTTCTATCTCGACCGAGATCTAGCCCTTGTTTCCAAAAAGCATTTTTGTGTTCCCAGTCTTCTCCAACACACAACCCATTACGCCACACAAGCAAACAATGCAATACACATTGATGGGATAAAATTGTCATTTTTTTTAAATAGTGAATAAATGACGAAGATACATACAAAATAAAAATTACAGAAATAGGGGGTCAGCAATCTCACAAAATATATATGTTGTGTTAGCTATTGGCTGACCTCTGTATAGTCGGCTGAAACCAGCATTTACGGAGGCCACCTGGCGACACAAATGACATTTTCTCTTATATTTCGAAAAAGGGTGTTTTTCCCAAATATATTTTATATATGTATTGGAGGGTTAATCAACATATGATATAAATTAATTTATCTATGATTCATTTTCTAGGTCTTTTGCATCTTCATCTACAACAGGCCAATGCCAGATAAATTATTATTGATAACGTCTGGAACAATAAAAGTTACGAAGCTCATATTGCGGGTATGATTAAACGTGAAAAATTATCTGAACGAAGCAGTCGGATCAAAAACTATCTACGCAAACTCATCCTATTATTTGGAAATTGGAAAATCTCAGTGTCTTTAGAAATGGCATGTAAATATAATCATATAATATACTTAAGTCTACTACTCATGTCAATGTTTGTCGACTCAACAGCGAATAGCACTTTGGTTCTGGGTGGAATGTTTCCAGTCCACAGCAGCAATGATAACGGGCAAGAGTGTGGACAATTACGGGAAAGTGGAATACAACGCCTGGAAGCAATGTTTTTTGCTATCGATCAGATCAATGCAAATCAAACCATTTTGCCTGGAGTCATCATTGAAGCGGAGATGTACGACACGTGTCGACTGGAGACCCACGCTCTTGAGCAGACGGTAGAAATGTTTAGTAGCAAAGACTTGCACAGTCAAGAGGGAAGCACGTTATATGTGTGTCCTGACGGTTCCTTTCCAACGTTTAATGAAGATCACCATGAACAAGCCATTGGTATCGTTGGAGCGTCCAGTAGCTCGGTGTCACAGGCTATTGCAAGTATTTTACGTGTTTTTAAGGTAAATATGTTGGATATAATAGTAAATATTCTTAAAATACAGTAATAATATATAGTAATGATGAGGATGAAAAGGAAGAGGATGATGATGATGATGATGATGATGTAAGGTAAAGGTTCGAAACCTGAAGCAGGCCGTAGTGCCCGTCTCTATTTCTTGAATGATGATGATGATGATAATTAACGGTAGAAGTGGTGGTGTTTTAGTGGTGGTTATGTTGGTGGTGTGGTGAGAAATAGCAATAGCAATATTATCAACCGCAATATTATATGATATTTATGCGTAGGCCACAATATACTTTTGTCCATGGAAGAAATATTCGTCATAGATAGAGTTTCTTTTCACAAACTCAATAACGATTACGACCCAAAATATAGCGTATGCATAGGAACTACATAATTTGGGGCACGGCGGCTAAGGCAACAGGTTTATGAAAGGACGAAATACGCGAAATTCTCTGCCAAAAGTCAGTTGCATATTCAACTTCAGTGTCGAATCATCACCCCTACCATACGTATTGCAGCTCTCTGTCACATCTCCGTCGAGATATATATTTTCATGAAACCCGCCTATATACACAACCAAAACAAAAATAGTCACAGCGTTCTAAATTCCACCTGAACGTGACCGCATAATAGCAACAGAGGGCGGCGTTCCGGGAACTTCGCGTTTAGTTTAGATTTCACTAACACAGTGTCAAGAAGTATAAAATGAGCCACCAACGTTGGCTACATCTACACAACAAGCTTTTATGATTTAGTATATAGAATTTATTAACCTACTCGATTCATATTCCATTTGTCAAATGATGGTCTTTCGTATTTGCCAAGCGGGCAATGTACTGTGCAATGGAAAGTGACTAGACGCATTGATTACGCACTGAGTCAATTCGTTATGTTAGTAGGCTGTACGCATTTTAAGTATTTGTTTTGAAGAGGCAACACTGTTTGGACTCAATTGTCAAGCACTTTTCTTAATATAGATGTAACAGATTTTAAGCTTATTTTTTATATGACATTTATACAACCTTATTTTCATCAGGTTCCACAAATAAGTTATGCGTCAACTAGTCCTGAATTGAGTGACAAAACGCGTTATGACTACTTTCTTAGAGTAGTTCCGACAGACACATTCCAAGTACAGGCTATTGTTGACGTCATCAAACAACTAAACTGGAGTTACGTATCAACGGTCGCGTCTTCTGGTAACTATGGTAAAAGTGGCGTCGACGAATTTATTTATCAGACACGCAGTCAAGGTACACTTAAGTCTAACTGTTTGGTTTATTGTTTTGTACTGTCTGTCTGTCTGACTGACTGACTGACTGACTGACTGTGTGTGATCAACTCACGAAATATCTGAGTAGCTGACTATCTAACTAGTCGATCAAAACTGATCACAGAACTGAATAAATTACCGGTTTACCGATGGACCGAGAGACTGACCGAAAAAGATACTGATTGCTCGAAGATCACGATCGATCTATTGTCCAATGATTATCATTAATAATATCGTATCGCGTTCACATTTAGGAATATGTGTTAGTCGTTCTGAGGTCATTGAAACGCAGACAAAAGAAACATACAATCGAATTGTAAAATACCTGGCGGAAGACGAGAAAGCACGCGTTGTAATAGCGTTCGTTATGGAGGACGATGTCGCCGGCCTTCTACGAGCCGCCATTCGTAATAATCTGGAGGATCATTTTATCTGGATCGGAAGCGATGGCTGGGGTACCAAATCGTTCATATTAGATGGACTAGAACACGTGGCTGTGGATGCTATTACATTGGTACCTGGGAGGTTTGACGTGGAAGGTAAGTTGGTAGTTATAGAGCGCCTTACGTATCACGTGAGTTTATTATTATTGTTATTATTATTATTTATTATTATTATTATTATTATTATTATTATTATTATTATTATTATTGTTGCTGTTGTTGTTGTTGTTGTTATTATTATTATTATTATTGTTGTTATTGTTGTGCTTTCTAACAATTTTAATGTAACAATTTTAATTTAATGATATTTACCAATTATTACTGATTACATTTGCAAAGTTTGGTTTTAGTTGCAATTCATCAAAGCAATGAAAAGTTATATAATATAACCATCGTTTTCTTTCGTTTTGCTGTTTTTTTTTTCTGTATAGGTTTTGATGACTACTTTACGTCACTCGATCCGGACAACAACAAACGCAATATTTGGTTTCAAGAATATTGGCAAACAGGTGAGAAAATGCTATAAAAACAATATAAAAACAGCAACAGTAACAATAGTACAGTAACAGTAGTGTCAATAGTAGAAGCAGTAACAGCATTAGTAACAAGAAATAACAATATTAACTTTAATATTAAGAATAGCTGTTCCTTTCAATTAAAGACTCCCCCATTTAGAGACAAGATGGTTTTGGAGGACCCAAATGACGGTTTTTTTTCTCAAATAATACCACTATGAAACAAATAGTGATGTTAATACAATTTTTACTATAATAAATTTTATCATATACATACACACAAAAAAATTATTAGCCAATTTACATTATAAGATATGTTTTATGTTTACAGTGTTTTGTGTATATTGCGTAGATAACGATAATGTTAGTGGCGATGTTAATAATGTTAATGGATAAAACGAGTAAAGGATATCTGGCTACTATGAAAAGTTTTAATGAGGACAATTACCAGCATGCAGTAACTGCACATCCATTTTAAAACAAGTAATGTATCTAAATACCGATATTCAAAGATTGCAGTAAAAAAAAAACAAAACAAAAAAAAACTGCACCATAACGACTATTTAAAACTTTTCTTTAATTGAATGGAACATTTTCAGTTTGTTCTGCCAACACCATGGTCTTTTGCCAACACGATGGTCTTTTCGGGATTCAATATTTAATTATGTCATCATCAGGAAAGACATTTAATGTCCAGGGGTTACAGTCTCGGATGGGGTCGCTTGGAAGCTAATGGGAAGGCCTCGAGTAAGCAAGAATCTCCCGGAAAAATATCTTAATATCCTTCTAAATATAGGAATCTGAAGACCACATTTAGTGTCCAGGGTTGCCAGTCTCCTCTAGGGCCCTGGGACGGTACTCTCCTGAAAATCGGCGGGAAGGCCTCTTGCACTCCCTCAAGCAAACCAGAATCTCCCCGAAAGTAAACCGTCTCCCGCAAATTTGGACGTTTTACTATTGTATTATCATTATTGTCTCTCGGAAGTCAGTGCCAATGGTTATTACCATGTGCCATGTATTTGCACTTTGAAATACAGTATGCGTGGGGTAAGACACAAGCACAAAAGATACAGCCTCACAACATATTGTCGTCACAGTGTACTGATAGTGGACCAACCACACTTTATTAGACAATGGTATGATAATAGGGGTTGTCAAGCCTCGATGAATACATTGAATACAGGTGCCAAGTATTTAACATTCTCCCGGGCTCCCCTGCTAAACTTTATGCACATATAAACCATATTTTCTAATTCAAAATATCAATATTCCATAAACACAGTAATCAATACCAATGAATCAATAAATTGTATAATAATCATGAATAAATATAATAATTAAAAATAATCATACACCACATTCTTTCATGCTTAACATTCAATATAGGCCTATCTCTTAGTAAGCATCTTTAGTCGTTGTGATCTTCTCAATACAATTTCTGGTTTCACATCAGTGCCACTGGTCTGTTTACAATCATTATTTTTAACAGATTCATTATCAATTAATCTTCTTAAAAAGTCATCCAAAACCTCTGAATCTTCTAATGTAGACTCCGATACCCTTGATCTAATTTGATCAGTATGACGTAACCATATTTGATCACCAACTTTAACTTGGTATCTAAGTGGTCCTTTCTTACCCACTATTACACCTGGTGCCCACTTAGTTTGGTTTTTGCTTACATTACGAAAATCCTTAACATATACGGAATCATTGACTTCAAATGACAACAACATAGCAGGCGTTTCGTTAGTCAAACTATGTACAGAGTTTCTATATGCTAAAAGAAACCTATTCAACTGGGTTTGCATTGAACAATTTTCACCAACAGATGCTTTAAGAGCTCGTTTCATTGATTGAACAAATCTTTCTGCTTGACCATTAGTTGCCGGATGTCCTGGACACGATAATTTATGCACAATATCATTTTCTCGCATAAACATTTTAAAAAGATTTGTAAAGTAATTTGAGGTCCATTATCGGACACCACAATCTAAGGTAAACCATTACGACTGAATATAGACCTTAATTCCTCTATTGTTTGTTCAGTAGTAATAGATTTCATGATTACAATTTCAGGCCATTTACTATAAGAATCGACGACAATAAGAAACATACGATTCTGAAATGGACCTGCAAAATCAATATGTATACGTTCTCAATTACTACGTGAAGGTAACCATGAATGTAAAGGTACAGTAGGAGGCTTATTTTGGGCCCATTGGCACGGCTCGCAACTCTTTGCTAAATTTGAAAAATCAACACCCGGCCATCAAAAGTAAGATCGGGCAAGACCCTTCATCTTAACAATACCCAAATGCCCAATATGCAAATCAAATAAGACCCTACTACCACGCAATTTAGACGGGATGACAACCTTAGCACCCAACAGAATACACCCACTTTCTATGGTCAATTCATTCCTACGAGTATAGAACGGCTCATGGTCTTTTTCATAGTTAGTCCAACCCTCAAGAAGATGTCGTTTAACTTTAATCAATACTTCATCCTTATACGTTTCACATCTAACTTCTTTAGCATTTACAGGTAAAGTCTCCATCGCATCAATGAAATTTATATTTACATTAAACATCTTGTTTAGGGGCAGGATCAACTGGTAAACGAGAAAAACAATCAACATTAGCATTAGCTTTACTAGTTTTAAAGTTGATTTCGTAATTGAACCCAGCCAAATATAAAGCCCATCGTTGCAGACGCTCTGCGGCTAATACTGGTAAATTAGTTTTTGGACCAAAAATATGGTAAGTTGTCTATTATCAGTTTCAAGCCAAAATGACCTGCCATAAACATATGGATAAAACTTCTTGAGAGCTACGACAATTGCAAGGGCCTCGCGCTCAATTTGCGGGTAGTTCTGTTCCGCCTTACTTAATGAACGAGAAGTAATTTTCTCTGGCCTTTCAATTGTATGCGACAATACAGCCTCCACTCCAAAAGGAGATGCATCGGTGGCTATTTTAATAGGTAATTTTGGATCATAGTGTATCAAAAACCCAGAATTAACTAACTCTGATTTTGACTCCTCAAACGCAATCTTGGCTTTACGAGACCATTCAAATTTAGTTCCCTTTTCCAACATGTTATACAGTTTAATAGCGAGGATAAATTTGGAACAAACGAGCGATAATAGTTAATCAGACCAAGGTAAGACCTTAATTGGTTAATATCCTTGGGCAAAGGTATGTTAATGATTTGATCGATTTTGATCGGACATTTATGAACGCCATCTTTATCGATTACATGGCCAAGAAAAGAAACCGAACCTTGCATAAATACACATTTCTCTCGCCTAAGTTTTAATCCAAATTCCTCTAATCTAGTTAAAACCAAATTTGCAATATGCTCTTTGTTATCTTTCCCCGTTATAATTATATCGTCCAAATACATTTGCACTCCCTTTAATCCACTTAATACACTTACATTGCATTTTGCCAAATTACGGGTGCGGTAGTTATTCCAAAGGTTAAGCGATTTTGTTGGTAGAAACCATTTTCAGTAATGACCGTTAACACCTTTTTGGATTCATCAGATAATTCCATTTGATTGTATACTTGCGCTAAATCTAAAGTGGAAAATGTTGTATCCCCTGCCAAATTAGCTAAAATATCGTCAACATTTATATTTGTGAATGCTTTACAGAGGTCATTATTCCTTCTTCAACTAGTCTATCAATCTCAACACTTACAATCTCTTTCATTGAATATGGAACCCGGTGACATTTACTTATTAACGGTTTAACATTATCACTTAATTCGATATCGGCTTTAACATTCTTTAATAAGCTTAGTTTGCCATCAAATAGAGACTCATGTTTCTTTAAGATCTTATCAACATTTAAATCCACATCATTTACACTATCGATTCCATTAATGGTTCCAAGCAATTCAGGTCAATCCAATTTGATATGCTTTAACCAATCCCTACTTAACAAGGATTGCTTAGCTTCAGTTACAATATACAAATCAGGCAATTTACTTTGGCCTTTGTAGGTTTAATTTACCCTGACTACCCTTTTTGGCTATACTTTTTGGCCTGTAAAACTTTTAAACACAGCATTTGTATTATGCATAGTAACATTAGAAAGCATTTTATTAAATATGAGTTCAGGCACTACAGTATATGTTGCACCAGTGTCCACTTCAAAGATTAAGTCTTTATCATTAACTGCAATAGTTACCAGTAAATGGTTATCGAGTTCATTCAAACTTTCGTCGCCTTCCATAACATGATTTAATTTACTTGGCTTGTTCCTACATACTTTAGCAATATGCCCCTTTTTGTTACAGCTATTACAATTTTTATCCTTAAACCAGCCGTCATCAGATGAATGCGATTTTCTCCCACACCGATAACAACTAAACGGTTTCCTATGATTGGCATAATATGCAGTCTTCTTTTTCTTGTGATTATGCCTGACAAAATTAATTCCAGTAGTCACTGGCTTGCGCCTGTTGTTGAACTACTGTAGCTCAAAAGAATTCGCCATACTAACAGCGTTGTCTAAACTCAGTTCGTTACCTTTTTCCAGCAACAATGTTCGTAACCTATCCGACTGGCATCCGTCGATTAATTGGTCCCGATTTTTATGATGTTGATGATATGGCTATAGATAATGCATCAAAATAATACACAACATAAGATGATGATCTGTGTATACAGAGACAGGACAGTGTTATTAGTAATAATGGAACAGAGATTTGGATATAACTATCACAGGGCGTTCAATAATCAATAACAGCATACAGTATAACTATACATCATTTCTAAAACATTTGGAATAAAACAATCTTACGTTTACTACATCGTTCCTTAAGTTCCCTCTAAATAGAGATATTTAAGTCGATTTTTAGTGTTGGTCTTTAATTATAGGTATTCTAATAGAGAACAAAGCTGCTAAAGAGCACCATAACTTTGGTCTCAAAAAAGAATTGATTGATCAAATATTTTTGTTTCTCTGTTTTAACAGTAAATGTTTCGACAAAATCGGCCCATGTACAAGAAGATAAAGTGGCGTTTGTTGTCGATTCAGTGTACGCATTTGCGTATGCGTTACAAGACATGATGAACGTGTTACAGTTAAACGCAATGTCATTGAATGATGCAGCAGCTGATGGCGAACGTTTGTTGAAATTCATCAAGAACGTAACATTTAAAGGTAATTTGTCGAACTTGTTCGTCACGGTGAACCTGAACCTATAATAGGGTAACGCGTTACCAGTTACCAGAAACGACTGCAGTAACGCGTTACCAATAGTATATACGTACTAGAACGACACCAATAGACAGACTTTTCCTAGGCGGTTTTTAATCTAAAGGACTTTCGAGGAGTGAAAGATTTTGTGTTCATACAGTATTGACTGAATATATTGACTATGTGGCCGAATTGGCAGGTTTTGCACCGTGTGTACAAATCATGAAATGCAACAGTGTGTGGGCAATGTGGACACATTATAACAATGACTCGACTCTGTGGAAACAGTGTAACTAAGCGTACACTCTCTGTAACACTGTCTTTAGCATAGAGCTATTAAACAAACTACGGTTCTGACAAGACGAAGAAGCAAAGCAGAGCTGTGTATGTGTACCAACCAAGATGGCCGCCGTAAGAAAAGCGCAACCCTCAGGCTGAGTATACATATCTTAAATAAGTCCTCTGACAGCTATTATTTCATTAATCATTGTTATTAATCAATAAATCACTGAACTGTCGTAGCCAAAAAGAGGGCAAGCTGAGTATCTTATATTCAAATAAAGTTACTGCTCGAAGAATCAAAATTGAAATCGTGTACATTACACCCATACACCGCAACACTCGAGTTTCAACGTACGGGTAACTTAGTTGTACTCAACTTTTCATTTAAATTGAGGGCGTCATTGAAATCGATAATCCGTAAGCGAATTTTGATTGGCTGAATCTACGGTAGCCATCTTGGATGGTACAAACCGTCTCACACAGCTCTGCGTATTTCGAACATCGAATACATTGCATTTAGCTCTCTGGCATTCTCATTATATCAATATGGTCTTAAGTCATGCACTCGCAGCGCCCGACGATCATCTGGCGACGCGATTTTACGGAGAATGCAACAGAGAGCAGAGTTTTATTCGTCGGTCAACTGTCGTGCAACCGATCGTACGACGCAGTGATTGCCCGGCTTAAGAGATGGGCCATGCTGTACATGGACCAACAGATTGTCTCTTTTAAAACCGGTGTTATGCTCTAACACTGGGTGAAATGTACTCGGATTGTTTCCACAACAAGACATCAATTCAAACCACCATCGGGGATGACTGACATCAATTGGGAAAAATGACAAACATTGTGCTAGTTGTAACAGAAAACAGAAAAATCAGTTCAAATGTAATATTGTGGCTCGGTCCATCAAATAAACAATTAGAAAATGGAGGATATATAGAAAGTTTGTTGATAGAAGATACAATAGAAATTATTGGTGGCTGAGGTAGAATAAGGACAATGTGAGGGAATTTTCCTGTGATACGGTGGTTTAGTGAAAAGAGCATGCGAGTAAGACGGAAATGGAAACGTAATACAACAAATTACTGATGGATGGAGGTCATGAGCATGAGAAAAGCGAATGCAAAATAGTTTTCAGTTAAGCATAGTGTTATCAAAAGAAATACCGATCGAAGATGGAAAGTGCAGCGACTGATCAGCCGTGATGGTCAGGTGTTTAAAGAGGCCGTTAAAGTGTCTAATGGACTAACCTTTCTTTAAAGAAATGGTCAAGCTTTCTTGAATTACTAGACTCTTGAGAGGTGCTGGTAATTTGTCTATGCCCATGCCGCATTTAAATTATAATGTTAATGCTATTACTACTTTTGCATTTTGATATCATCAAGTATAAATAATAATAGGAATAACAACGTTTAGTTAAAATTTAATCAGAAACAATTTCATACAAACTACTGTAAACACGTAAATCGGTACTATTCTGGATATGTAATATTTCTAGTGCAGTCTTGTTCAACATTATTCCTTTTCAACCTGTTTTGGTATATGTATAATATCTATTTATTCTTAAAAAAGTTAAATCCTTCTGCCCGTTTATGTTTTCAGGTAAAGGATCTGATTTCATAAAGTTCAACCAGGATGGTGATAGGCTTGGGGCGTATCAGATATTTCAATACCAATATAATAGATTGAATGGAAACTACACCTACGTTGAAGTGGGAAACTGGAAGAATGACCAACTAAATCTGCAAACATCTGTCCTTCGTTGGAAACAAGGTGTCCAACCAAATTCAGTATGTGCTGAACCATGCGCGGATGGGGAGATTCGCAAGAGTGAGGGTGGTGTATTTTGTTGCTGGGTTTGCAGTCCCTGTCCTACAAACTCATTTCGTGAGAATGAAACGGAGTGCGTTGTGTGCGACCAGGGATACAAACCAGATCTCAAGATGAGTAGATGTATGAAGATTGAAGCGGAATATCTAAAGTTGTCTGAATCAGGTGCTATCTTTTCAGTTATTGCAGCCTCAATTGGACTAGTTCTGACATGTTTAACTACCGCAGTGTTTATATATTTCAACGCTACACCAGTAGTGCGGGCGTCAGGAAGAGAGCTCAGTTATATTCTCTTAGGTGGAATTTTATATTGCTACATGGTCCCGTTCTTTATATTATCCCGACCCACATTATTTACGTGCGGTTTTATTCGCTTCAGTCTCGCACTCTGCACCGTTATTTGCTACTCGGCACTTTTAACCAAGACCAATCGTATTGCTCGTATCTTCAACAATAGTGTTCGAAGCGCCAAACGTCCTCGGTACACGAGTCCCCAGTCGCAAGTAATGATTTGCAGTCTACTGATATCTATTCAAGTTATATGTGCTTTGATTTGGTTGGTCGCAGATCCACCGCAGGCCATTGAGGATTTTCCAAATATTGAAACGGTTGTTCTGCAGTGCGCAGTCTCAGATCACGCCATACTTGTATCATTGTTGTATAACTTTATGCTCATTATTCTGTGCACTATCTATGCCTTCAAAACTAGGAAGATTCCATCAAATTTTAATGAAGCGAAGTTTATTGCATTTGCAATGTACGCTACATGCCTGTTGTGGATAGCATTTATTACAGTTTACCTGGGAACTTCAGAGTTAAACTATCAGGTAGGGTTTGTTAATAAATTACTAGTAACAAAAGTTATAATAATTCCCAGATGACAACTGACTTTATATTAAGCAAACGTCGCTTTCATGTTGCCGACAACAAAACATTAGTGACAGATGCTATAGTTTTAATGCTAACAATGCAAATATTATTGCTATCTGTTTACACAACGAAATAATTTGCAAAAAATCGATTATTATTTTAACCATAAATTTCATTCGAGAAGTCTTAATTGAATTACAACTTGTTTCTGGTATAGAAAGGTCATATATTTTGAAACTTCAACCGCGTTCCTGTTATCCTCCGTTTTTTGGGTTTTTTTTAATTTCTTTATAAATTATAGGCCTATATAGTCGTAATTAGATTACAACTTATTTGCTTTCGAATTCAGTTAGCTGCACCACTGAAAAACATACAATGTAAAAGGGACGTTAAGTAGCAGCATGAATAATGTCAGTGATACATGTCGATGTTGGTAGCGTGGTAGTGTAGTGGTGATGTTTATGTAGTTGTTAATGATGATGATAATAATAATGAGGATGAAGATATAATGATGATGATGATGATGATGATGATGATGATGATGATGATGATGAATTTAATGGTGGTGACGATGGCAATCACGGTAGTAATGATGATGTTTTTATGATGCTGATGTTGACCGTTGATCTTGAAGTAAGTGTTGTTGTTGATGATGATGATGATGACGACGACTACGATGATAAAGCTTTTAACGACGACGACGACGATGATGATAATTATGACGACGATCGACGAGGGGGATGGTGACGATGATGATGAGGGTGGTGATCATAGCAGTTGTTGTTGATGGTGATGATAATAATGGTAATGAAGGTATAATAATGACGATGATGAAGGTAATGATGGTGATGATGGCAATAATTATAATGATGGTAATAATGATGATGTTTTTATGATACTTATGTTGACCGTTGATCGTGAAGTTAGTGTTGCTGTTTTTGAGGATGATGATGACGACGGCGACGACGACTACGATTACGATGATAAAGCTTTTGATGATGATGATGATGATGATAATTATGATGATCGATGAGTGGATAGTGACGATGATGATGAGGATGGTGATCATAGCAGTGTTAATGATAATGTTGATAATTCATCTTGATGGTGGTAATTGATGGTGATGTTGAGAATAATGTTAATGGTAATGGTGTTGGCAGTGATGGTGTTGGTGTTAGTGGGGGTGATAATGGTGCAGGGACTCAACAAAATACCAGAGAACAGTTAAATTACATCTCGAACCGAACGTCAAAAGTTATAACCCGCGGTACCGCCGCTCTTATCACAATCAACTAATAAACCATTTACAACTAATTACGACGACCCAATTGCTTTGCGCATGCTCGCTATTGTGTAAACTACACGATCTAATACTTCCTGCATCGTGTTCTCATGGTGATCGGCGTCGTATCAACCATGATCATACCAGGGAACAGTTAAATTACACCACATAAATGTTATACAGAAACGATACATGGGGACTAGGCCTACATCGCGACGATTGTTTTAATATTTTGTAGACTCTAAAATCGATTAAATAAGCCTTTGAAACCCCTAAATTGTCGGGGACCTCGGCCCACCCGTTAGGCAATCCTGGCGTCACCCATGTAATACCTGCATCGTGTTCTCATGGTGATCGATGTCGTATCATTCCATGATCGTAATGATCGTGATTTAACTGTTCCCTGACAATACTGCATGCCAGTGATTTTTAAACTAGATAAGTGTAAAATGCGTCTACATTATTTAATATTTCATTTTCTCTTTTAGATTCAAGATGTAATGATGAGTTTAGTTGTAATACTGAGTGCCTCTTCACTCCTCTTTTGTCTTTTCTGCCCCAAAATTTACATCATACTCCTAGAACCTGAAAAGAACGTGCGATCTTTGGGAAATTCTGGTACGCAAAAACCGCCTACGTCACTAGCTGCTGGACACTCGGAAAATTTAGCGGCTTCCGCTGTTAGCGTAATATCGTTCTCCCATTACACAGCCGACGGTAGGTATCAATTTTTTGACTCACATTATCTCCTACAAGTGCCACATTTCTGGGGGTTTGATGTTTGTTCGTAATTTTCCCCACAAGACCAATTATCGCAAAGCACTTCGTCAACTTCTAAAGATTCGCTACTTAGGATTTAACTAGTCTCGTGGTCTGCCTAATCGTTTTCTATGACAAAGGCGCTGTTAGTGTATAGAACATGTTTGGTCTCGTTTACTATACAACACTCAAATACAATGAATCGGTTTCTCTTTACATCTTAATAAACAGAAATGAAAACTAATAACTTGAAGGACTCAAGTAGTAGACTGTATACCGCGGTAATAATATTTTCTTAAAGAACCCATTATGTTCAAAACAAGATTGACTTAATTTCCGCATTCTTAAAGAAATTCTGTCTGCAGTAGAATTAAGGGAATTCCCACAAAATTTATAAGCATATTGATCGTATCATTCAGATGAATCAAATAGGAATTACCAAATGCGAATCCAAACGAACGAAAAAAAAAATCTAAATTTCGCAGATTTACACAATTTCTTTTTATTTTTATTTAAACATAATTCAGATTTTGTTGAATTTAAAGATAATGTACAACGAGAGTCTGGCTCAAGAAGGACTCAAGTAGTAGACTGTATACCGCGGTAATAATATTTTCTTAAAGAACCTATTATGTTCAAAACAAGATTGACTTAATTTCCGCATTCTTAAAGAAATTCTGTCTGCAGTAGAATTAAGGGAATTCCCACAAAATTTATAAGCATATTGATCGTATCATTCAGATGAATCAAATAGGAATTACCAAATGCGAATCCAAACGAACGAAAAAAAAAATCTAAATTTCGCAGATTTACACAATTTCTTTTTATTTTTATTTAAACATAATTCAGATTTTGTTGAATTTAAAGATAATGTACAACGAGAGTCTGGCTCAAGAAAATCAGAGTTATACATTTTGTAAACGAGTATAAGAAAGATTATTATTGTTATTGTGTTGATGTTACCGCTGTTGTTGTCGGAATCGCTGTGTAATACAATGATAATAGGCATATGCTTTTTTTTTTTATAGTAAATGGAACTCACGATACGACAAGAAACAACGGCGAATCAACAAAACTATGAAGACGCCAACTATCGATTCAAAAATGTTACTACAATCAACAGCATTATCGTGTGGTGTGGACTGTTTTTCGTCTATTTACTTACCTACCGTATGCTTTCTGTTCGTGGACTTACCGAATTACTAGCGAGCTATGGCTTTGCGCGACGACGTAGAGCTAGAACGGATTCACTCATGCGTGACCGCCCTACGTTCTTCGCACAACGTAGATTTGGGCCAAATTGAGTCCTAGAATTCAAGCGACATTCTCGCAATATGCGCAGATAACTTCAAAGGTCTGCAGTCGTCGTGCAATAGAAAGCTCCCTAATAGCTGCTAAAAGCACCTTAGCAGTTTCAAACTTCAGGAAGTAATGTTGAAAATCTCTTATATCTATATGCAAGATATAATGAGGATTAAAGTATTTATGATTGAAAAAATGGAATGGCGGTATAACTGTGTATACTGTACAAACGTAAAATAGCACGATTTGCGAAGATGATCACTTTAGTATGTTTAAAGAAGTCAATCTTACATTAATATTCTAAAAATATTAAGGTGAACACTAACAACAAATTATAAAATTTATCCTTTTACTCCATTTTAGTAGCCAGGCTTTTACTTTGACTTTTGCGTAATAACATTCTTAGTAATAATTCCATCCAGATTCAAGCTAGTGATATTTCGCATACGTGCGCATTTGTTGTGAGCCTGTGAGCCTGTGAAAATTTCATGCTTTTAATG